GGCTTGCATCCACTTCTCAAAGAGGTCGGCCGAGAGCAGTTTGGAGGGAATATTTCGGAGGAAGTCCTGCAAGGCCAAGAGATTTAGATGAGGCTTTGGACACTATCCCTGAGCACTGAGGGACCATCACTGTGGCATGGGCTTACTAAGAGGCAGGCTGGCTTGAGCTACCTGACCATCAGCACAGGCAGAGCAGTGGGGTACAAGTGCCAAGTACACTTGCATTGGGGTAATAATGGGACCCAGCTCTTAGCTGCTTCTCCTTCACCCATAAATCTCAGTATTCCTCCATGGGGAGGATGCTGAGGAGCAGGACAAAATGAGTTTTCTGTGGGCATGTAGGAAATCAGTGGCACAACAAGTGGAAAAGGAAAATGTCAAACTTTCCTAAGCCTGAAACATTTAGCCTGGCTTCGCTCTGACTTTAGCTTGGAGTCCCACCTAGGTACGCTCTGGGCACTGAAGTGGGCCTGTGCAGATTAGCAATGTGCTCCCACCGCTGCAGGTCAGAGGAGCTCACCTTCAAGACCACTGCCAGCAGGTGCACAGATTTGCTTTTCAAATCAACATTCCCGCCTTTGTTTAGGTCCTCCTTCAACTCTTTTCGTGCTTTCTCATTTGCAGCTTTTCTGAATATCCCTTCAGTGGAAGGTCCTTTCATATACAATATAGCTAGGAGATCCTGCAGGGAAAAAAAAACAGACAGAAATGGGAGAACAGTTAGCTGGTGTAAGGAAAGTCCTTTAGCAAGTGAACATTTCTTTAGAAACAGAAGAAAAATTGTCTGGAGGTACACTGTGCTCTAATTAGGTCAATATCTAGTTCTTGCTCCAAGTAGATTACATGGGCAATAATCTGATTTTCCTGCAACCCACCCTCCTTTTGGACCGGTGATTCCGCTCAGTTCAGTGGAGTCATCCCTGCTTCCTTCCAGGAGGAAACAAGGATTGGCTTAAGTCTTGGTTCAAATCCCCTCCCTCCCAAGCCAGGCAAATACTGCTTAGAGGAGACAAAAGCCTGTCTATTGGAAAAGCCAGCTCAGTGGGAGAACCATCACGAGGCTGTTTTTATCCAGAAGATAGTGTTTAGGTATTTGTCAGTGGCAGTCCATAGCTGAACACTTTTTTCAAGGAAATACAGAAACCTTTGGAAGTCTATGCTGTTGAAAGATTCATTTAAATGACTTCTGTAGAATCACAGATAGTTATACTAAAGAGCAGATCTTCTTCTCCTATTCCTGGTCCTGGGTTGTCTCCACTCAAACTTACTTCCAGTGAAAGTTGGGTGGGCTGACCGTTTCTACATCTAGGATGGACCCTGAACTTATCAAAAGTGTGTGTGGAGGGGAAACACCAAAATCACTTATCTCCTGTGTGCTGCAGCACAAGTACGGGGGATCCTGCCTCACACTGGGAGCCAGAGGTATGATAACTGTATTGTCAGACTTGCTTACCTTGACCGGTTGAGGCAGTGTGTCATCTTCCCCGCAAATGATTGCCAGAGGCTGGCCAAACAGAGCGATTTTGGCACCCGAGTCTAGCTGCCCTGGGGAATTCCCGTTGGTAGAGCTTCGTCTCAGAGTAAATGACTGTGATATCACCTTCTTTCTTTTCTTTGTTCCATCTGCTGCAAGCAAAAGGAAAGCAAAAAATCAATTTTAAAAAAAGAAATAACAGAGAGCACTATGCGGCCATTCATCTGTGTACAGTGCAGAGATGTATGTTGAAACAACTCTAAACAAGGAGAAACTGAAAGACAACTAAGTGGTTGCTAAGGAAACAACCGGCTAAACTGAAAAACTGACTATCCCTCTAAGGACACCACCTTTCCTGTTTTGGGGGTTTTATCTTTAGATTCTAGTCACTGTTTCTTGTTAGAGAGTGTGAACATACAAGGCACAGAAATAACAGCATTTACAGAGATTTTTGATACTGCAGTGGTTTCTGCGATAAGGCAGATATGTCACTCAGGCAGCTGGCAACGACAACAATTTTCACTATGTGGTCTAACTGAGGGCAAGCATGGAACTAGAGACTCCTGCTTTTCAGCCTCTTTCATAGGCTGAAATGAAAACACATGGTTCCAGCTCTGCCAGCTTCAGAGCCAGCTCTAATGATACTGGTCCTGCTAGCGCTACAGCTTGCGCCCTGCCAGCCAGCCAGTGGAAGGTGATGCTTGCTCCAGAGGATGGGAGCACTACGGTAGGGCCTCAATGGCTTCAGGGTCAGAAATCTCTTAGCATGGGTTTTGCATCTGCATCTTAAAGAGGAGGGCATGCTAGGAATTTGGAGATGATGGTTGTATTGAGATGAGGTGTGGCGCTTTTTCCCTTTCAGAAACAGTGAGAAAAGGATCTTTTTGCTAGAAAGCTTTCTAAAGGACTTGCGTTCTATAAATTTCCTATAAAGCACTTGCCTTCTACTCCAAAATTTTCTCCTGCACAGATGAGAAGTTCTCAGGATCTGTATTTGTGGCTTAGCACAAGTCCTTGGTAGGGAGGGGCTACAAGCTATGAGAAAGTAACCTAACATTATAATGTCAGGTAAAATGTTTGCTTCTGATACTCCTGAAAAATGGTCTGATATGATGGTCTGCTCCAAATCTGGCCCTGCTCTGCTAATGGTCTTGGGTTGTTTACAGGTGCTGAGGTTTTGCATGATGAGAGAAAACAAGTGAAGTTGCTGCTGCCAAGAGTGTTTATTTGCTCTGGCGTGCAACCGCTGTTAGCGGTACTCGCTGGCAGTGCCACACCTCAGTGGTGATGCTCAAGTGAGAAAGGAGCACATTTACTTGCCATCGCTGCCAGGAAACACAATGAAACATGGCTCTGAGGACCAGGGAACAAGACAAGACCTCTGGCACTCAGCACTGTCACCTC